CGCGCGCGCGCGCGCGCGCGCAGCATACAGTTTCAGAATAACAATAATAATAACAACAAAAACAACGATATTATGCGTTTCGGGAAGGAGATAGATAATGGAACAAGAGAGACAGTGTGAGGCGAATTGCAGAGATATTGCCGTCACCATAATGTCCCGGGGACTGGTAATAATAATGGTCTGGGGGGCGATTGGGTGGGAAGGTGTGGTTAGAAGGGTTAGGGGGTGCAGTTTTCGTCGCGCGTGCGATGAATCCCGATCAGACACTTCGCTATATTGTATAATGTAATGCCTTGATTCTAAAATGTTCGCTCCACCGTTAACCGGATGTGGGCCACCGATTTATGTAGCACATGCCGTGGGGGTTGACCACCGTATACAAAAATAGACGTTTAAAACTTATGTTCTTTTAAAAACAACTCTTTTATCTTTTCGCACTGATGATTTTTATACATAAAATGATCGTTATTATTACTATTAATATTATTATGTAGGTATATTAGAAACAGTTCATCGTGGGTAGACGCGTAATATATAACACGCATCGATACGCTTAAAATGAGTATCCCACGCGCGCAATCACTCAATATATACCTGATTCATGCTATACTATACGAGTAAAGTTCCGCCTTTTGTGTACACTTTGTGTCCTAAAGAAACTTCACATTGTATTGATCGATGTCCACACTTATTTTGTCCTCGGCAATATTCGCGCAAACGTGTGCTTTTGTGTGAGCTTGATTTTTTATTTTATTTTTTTATACGAATTCGTTCTCTTAGAGGTAAACTCGTTTTCTGGAAAAATCTAATTGTTTTTGGAAATTCGTTTTTTTAAGCACCTAATAAGGATTCGTTACAAAAAGTGATTACTTGGAAAAAGTTTCTTTAAAGTTGTTCAATGGTAAATTTTTAATTTTATAGTCTAAAGCAAAATATTATTCTGAGAATTAGATTACAAAAAATCAAACTTTAAACGAATTTATCATTCATAATGATTGAATATTTAGGATTTGAATGGCATAGAAGTGCTTTGCAAAATGCGTATCCAATACCTTCATATCTTATAATCAATACTTAAATTAAAAATAAACTAATTCGTTTCGATTGTTTACATACAAATTCTCAGATAACATAATATTTTGCTTAGAAATGTGAACTTAAAAATGTAATTTAAAATAGAACTATATGATTTAAAAACTATATTGATGAAATATTCAGTAAGAATAAGTGTATTATTTTGTATTTGTATTCAAAGTTGTTGTTTTGTTACGACTTCAAATTATCTATTATTATTATTAGTATTATTATTATTCTATGTTATGTAAATAAGCATTTCCGAAAATATTTATACATTTTTTTTTTGAAAACCAGTGTTTTAAATAATCACCAAGGCCATCATCAGTTATTTTAAATAGTAAAGAAAAAAAACATTATTAATGTTATTATTTTTTTTTACTATTCGAATGATTGACTGCGTGTGTTTTTTTTGTATATTTGCACTGCAGTAGGTCATGCAGTGAAATCACGAGCGATTTTTCAACATTGCCCCCGATAAATATCGCATGGACTTTGAAATTTTTTCCGTCACGTCGGCCGTCGAATACCTTTGGGAACCATTCGAAGCAAATTACTTCTTTCATGCACGATAACGCAACGTTAACCGTTCTGAATGGATTGTATACACACTCGGGCTGGAACAACAGCCGGAATAATGCGTTTGTTCTGAATATCAACCATGGTATTATCGAACTATATTATTACTTCATTTTATAGTTATACGCCGTTTTACCCCGAAATATTTCGAGAATCATATCTTAAAGACGCACATTTTTTTACGTGCAATAAACTTCATCTGAAATGACTTTGCGTCACGTTATACGCGTATAGTTTTTTCACGAGCGATGAAAACATAATATAATACGTTTTTACTAAAAATAAAGCTAACTGCTTATGATACGCATACCGAATAGTTCTATTATATTAATGTAGTATTATTATATAATACTGTTATTACCGAATTGCTGAAAGAAGTTAATTTGTTTGGCTCAATGAAATGAAATGTAAAAAATATGAATAACATTTATCCGGGGAAATAGACAACAGTGTAGGTAGGTACAAAATACTAAACGAAAATTACGATGAATGATATATGATATTGTTATAATTTAACACTGTTTAAATTATAATATGTAACTAAAATAATAATATCATTTTCAAGTATATAGTGTGGAGGATGGACATTGTTAATCAATATAATCGTTACGTCTTGTGTAACCTTATATATTTTTATCAAATTTAATCGCATCATATTATATTATTATTTTCCTTTGAAATGTTTTTTATGATTTACATAGTTTCAAAACATTATATTATGTATAACAAATGTTCCAACCTACCGAAATTTCGGAAATTAATATTTCGCAACAATTGTGTAGATTAACTATCATTAACGTATTCGGTTATCTAGGGTGGGCCACTTCCTATGGTTTCAACTAAATTGGGTTTAGATGGTGTCACTCACCTTGTATATGTCTAAATGTCCACAGTAAGCGTCAAACTTGTTGTACAAGGACTCCAACATGTTGACGACCATGAATGGCGTAGCGGTGCTGCAGATGGACGTGAAGCCTACGATGTCGCTGAACAACATAGTCACCTCGTCGTGCGTTTTCGCTTCGATTGTCTCTCCTGAAAACCACAAAAACACAGTGCATAAGCATCAAAAAATATGTTTTTGTAAATATATTTTTAAAATTAACTACAGTAGAGATCAACTTAATAAATGAAAGTGTAGCTTAAGAAAACTAATTACCGTTAATGTTAATATTACATTACTGATTTAAATGATTTTAGTCAATGATGATTTATACACGGGGCCAGTGGTGGGTCGAAAAATGTTTAATGGAGGTGGGATATATAATAAGCAATTGTTAGGGTTGAGATTTTATAGCATTTGAAATTCCAAAATCATGACTATAATGTTACCTTAAATATCGTATAATGTGTGTTAAAAATATACAGTAAAAACAACAAAATATGAAAAAAATCTTAAATTTTTAGAACAAAGTTTAACACAAGTTACGACGTGACAATCAGTTACCATAACACCTTCAACCTTTAAACAAGTTTAGAAGTTATTAGTCAACTATAGTCAGCCGTGTTAATAAAAATAAATACCCAACGTATTTAACAGCCGTTCGATGATAATTTCAGTGGTAAATGGCAAAAAAGGGTCCAAAAGAATCAACAGATAAACGATTAAGATTAAAATCAAATAACTGCGTAATACGAAATAACGCGTCAGCAGTTCAGCACACAATATGTTTATTTCACTTAATTATAATTATTTTTTAAATGAAATTATAACTAAAATTCGCGTTTATTAAAATATTATGATAACATAAGATCAATTTTTATTAAAAATTAGCCAAAATTCAAAAGTATTTCAAAAAATCTTATGAAAGTGCACTAAAATTTAAAAAAAAAATGTAAAACGTGGAAAAATTTTTTTTAATTTTAGTCCTCTGAATTGTATAATACATTTTAGACTTACCTACTCTGTTATATCTTAAGTATTTTATAGGAGATATACAAATTACATTAAATACCGGCCTAGGTAATAATGAAATGAAATTATAATTAATGTACTAGTGCCAAAAACCCAATATATAAGGAAATTTACATAACCAATGCGAGATATATAACACCCCCCTCCAAATTTCCTCCCATTAGGAACGCCACTGTACTGAAATTGTTACGAGGTTTTATGTTCAGATTTCAGAATACCGTCAAAGAAGTGTGCTTTTTTTAATTTAACGATTTCGTAAAGGCATACACTTGTGATCATTCAATTTMGACGTTTAGTCCGATCCTATGTATACGAAAACAATAATGACAAGACTAGACCTAGACTAGGTATATTATATTATTAATGTAATCAACGAGATGCGCCATGGCCGTCGTGATTATGCTCGTATAGGAAACTTTGTACAACAACGGCCTTAGTACAGGAAATATTCAAATTCATAATACTGCTGATTAATATGTGTGTGCGTGTGTGTGTGTGTATTAATAAACTGATGACGATAATTTGTATGGATTATTCGAGATCGTCGCTGATACAGGTGCATAACCAACGTATTTCGTTTACGGGCGAGGCAATGGATATGTATGATTATTTTTTTTTTTTGTGTTTTTTTTCTAGGCAGTGAACTTTCTGTGGGAGTAAAAACTTCGAAAAGTTTCGAGTAACTTACCGTCCGATTGAACGAGATTTATTTATACCTTATAGTTACCAAGAGATAATTTTTTGATTCCCTATCAATTCCACTACGGGTTGTAAAATCCTGACGCAATTTCACTGCAGTTTGAAGTGTTAAAATCCAACTGACTTAAACCAGTTTTTCGTACAGATGCATAATAATATAAAATCATTTAAACATTATGTTCAATCATTATTTTTACTTATTACAGAGACGTGGTAATCATAATATAATAATCATGAACTGTCTATACTTGTTAGCATTTCAGATGAAATACTTCAATCGTATTTTGTAATATTTAATAATTTTATCATTTAATTTTAATATAATTATAATTTATAATTTTTTGATTGTTGCAAATATTCTAAAGTCAAACACTTGCAGATCACCATAAAGTTAACGAATATGTGCATATTTATATTTTAAATCTTATATTACAGTCTAGATAGTAATTAGTGTCTTAATTATAACTTTCAGAACTTCAAAATACAATTTTCTAACATTGTCACATACGTTTTACAAGTAGGTACTCAATTTCAGGTATGTCATTTATTTTTTGAACTTATTTAGTCTCCTATTCTAGTTAAAATGAAAAATATTATTTTCATTTCTTAATAACGCTTTGAAACTCGCAAGAAACTTAAATCGAATATCTTATCTATTGTTTACAATTTTGGAAAACAATATCGTAATTGTTTTTCCTTATTCGTCAGGCATAAGAAATAATATAAGTTAAAATAATTTTCAAAGATATTGATAATACGTTTCGGCAAAAATATTAAATAATGATTATCGGTATAATTCGGTGATTTATAAATAAATGTATTTAAAAGATAAATTATGAAAGCATCTTAATAGAAATCAATCTGTAACTTTTATGTTTTTATGGATATGGTACGGTGTAAATCGATAAATATGTGTTAATGTTTAGTGCACTGTACATAATATTATTAACTTCAATTAATTTTTCTTAAATTTGATTTAATATAATTTTATAGTGACACTTACTAATTGCTACACTTTATTTAATTCAAAAACTTTCATTAAAAAAAAAGCGGGTAAGTCRTGGATGTCGCTCTGCTGTACAGTAGGTTACTGTAATGGATGGGATTAAATTTGAATGCAATGATAGGTATCATTGTATACGAAAAA